CTATGCTTGTTACCCTTTCATCTCTACAGGAGTTGTGGCTTAATAATAATAATTAGAGTTCTCTGAGCATGGCTGTTTTGCAAAACCCAGCATTAAGCCATGTTTCCTATACTTATAGTCTCTCTGATCTGGCAGACATTTGGGGACAGTAGAATCCTCTGATGGAAGGGGCAGGACATGATGGAATTCAAAGATCAGAAATATTACTTGCTAGCTCTGGTAGCATAGTGGTTACGAATCGGGCTGCTAAACTCAGGGTCAGCAGTTCGAAACTACCAGCTGTTCTGCAGGAGAAAGATGAGGCTTTCTGCTCCCATAAAGATTTACAGCCTCAGAAACCCTGTATAGGGTGGCTATGAGTCAGAACCCGACTGCATGGCACATAACAACAACAACAACCTAATTGAGGAGTCCTGGTGTGGTGCTGTGAGTTAATGCGCTGGACCGCAAGATTGGCAATATAAACTCACCAGTTGCTCCTCAGAAACCCTATACAGGGTCGCTATGGGTCGGAATCGACTCAGTGGCATTTAACAACAACCTAATTGATACCTAACATTTTTCTGGTTTTCAGTAGATCAGAATGACCTTTCCTTCATGCCTGTAAAGGCATGAAGATCAGTGGCCTCCCCAGTTACAGAGATCTGAGGACCCAAGGCTTTATTTTGTAAATGGTGCCTTCCTGGATTGAGGCAATGCGTGTTCCTCTGTAGCCAATTGACTTTCTTTCCCATGGTGTCTGCAGACTGAGCCCTGTTAAAAGCAACTATGCACACTGGCTTTTTCATGTGATCAAGAGGCCTATGGCCTCTGGGTCAGGAAGGGAAGGAAGGGTAAGTCACTGGCTAGAGGGTAGACACAAATTAACTTGGGTGAAGGGGAAGTCAATATTCAATAAGAGATTGTCAAAAAAATTTTTTTTTTAAATGATGGAAGCAGGGGAAGGAGTGCAGGAATTAAAGGCAAAAGTGGCAATTATGTTTTCATACATAATCTTTCAATAACAGTGATCTACGGGTGGTTGTTGTTAAATGCCATCAAATTGGTCCAACTCATAACAACCAAGGAGCGGCTGGTGAGCTTGAACCACCGACTTTGTGCTTCAAATGGACCTTGCATTCCAGAACATTGATCTACAGCACCATTAGGTGCTGTCAAGTTTGTTCTTACTAATAATGACTCTGTGCACAACAGAAGGAAATACTGCCCAGTCTTGTGCTGTGTTCATAATTGCTATGTTTGAGTCCTGTCTTGGCACCACTGTGTCAATCCATCTTGAACGTCTTCTATTTTTTTCACTGACCCTCTACTTTACCAAGGATGGTGTCTTTTTCCAGGGACTGGTCCCTCCTGATAACATGTCTAAAGCATATGAGACGAAGTCTTGCCATCATCCTCCCTCGTTTGTAAGGACTATTCTAGCTGTACTTATTCTAAGACAGATTTGTTTGTTCTGCCAGTCTATTCAATATGATTCACGAACACCACAATTCAAATACATCAATCTTCTCTGCACCACAACTTCCACACGCATTATGAGGGCTTTGAAAATACCATGGCTTGTATCAGGTGCAACTTAGTCCTGAAAGTGATGTATTTGCTCTTTAATGTTTTAAAAAGAGATCTTTTGCAGCAGATTTGCCCAATGCACTGTTTGATTTCTAGGTTGCTGCTTCTATGGGCATTGCTTATAAATCTAAGTAAAATGAAATCTTAGACAACTCCAATCTTTCTTCTGTTTATCATGATGCTATTTACTGGTCCAGTAATAAGGATTTTTGTTTTCTTTACAGTAAGTTGTAATCCATATGAAAGGCTGTAGTCTTTGATCTTAAACTGCAAGTGCTTCAGACCCATTTGCTTTGAGTAAGCACGTTCTGTCATCTGCATATCGCAGGTTTTGAGCCTTCCTCCAGTTCTAATGCCATGTTCTTCTTATAGTCCACCTTCAAGTGTTATTTGCTTAATATACAGATATAATGAAAAAGGATTCGGCCCTGATTCACACATTTTCCAATTTTAAACAATGCAGAATTCCTTTGTTTTGCTCAAATAACTGCCTCTTGTTCTTTGTACAGATTCCACATAAGCACGATTAAGTGTTCTAGAATTCATATTCTTTGCAATGTTATCCATAGTTTGTTATTCTCGTAGTTGAATACCATGGATTGTCAATAAAACACAAGTAAACATCTTTCTGATACTTTCTGTTTTCAGCCAAAATCCATCTAACATAAGCAATAATATACTCCTCATTCTATGCCCTCTTCTGAATCCAGTTTGAATTTCTAGCACCTCCCTCTAGTTGCATGGATAGACATGCTGGCTGAATGGGTGGGGGCAGAGGGGAGAGTGGGAGTAATTCACAATTATATATATATTTGACAGGATATTTGCAATGGGTACTTACCTTTGCTGCAAATATATCCGTGAATGTGTTACATACAGAATGCAAAGTTTTAATAAAAACTTCTTAAACATAACAAACCATCTTGAATGAATGAGTTACTGGGCCTGGGGATTCAGGTCTATAATCTCCGGGGACATCAAGATCAATTGGCATCATAATAGTTCGCAAACAACCGGGGATCATAAAAGCCCCTGAGTGGCCATCTCAGGTGCAACTATTGCTCTCTCCCTGCCCAGAGGAAAGAAGTGATGAAAAATCAAAGACACATGAAAACAATTAGTCCAATTTACTAATGGACCATGTGAATATCAGTCTCCACAGCCTGACATCAGAACTAGATGATACCTGGCTACCACTACCAACTGATCTGAAAAGGGATCACATTAGAAGGTCCTGGATATACTGGGATTAAAATATGGAACAAAACTCAATATCATAAAAAGGACCAGGCTTGCTGACCAGATAGAGACTTGTGGAACCCTGAGATTATTATGGCCCTTAGTCAACCTTCAGATCTGGAACTGAACTCATTCCCATGGTTCGGTTTTTAGCCAAACAATGGATAGTTTTATAAGGGGTACAATAACACTAGTGTGGTATGCATGTGTTAGAATAATCAAAAGGGAAGTATTTACCCAAAGACAAAGTTCAGAAGGGTTAGGAAAGAAGGAGGAGTGGACACAGTAAACACAGGGAAGAAGTGGAATAAGTGATGTTAAAATGAGGGGATTGTAATTAATGAGATTCAACAAAATGTGTATGTATTGTTGAATGTAAAACTGATGATCTACTCTGTTAGCCCTCACCCAATTCACAATATTGGAGTCCTGGTATGGCACTGTAGGATAAGCATAAGCACTGGTCTGCTAACCATAAGTTCGGTGGTTCAAACCTACCAGCCACTCCTTGGAAACACTATACAGGGTCCTTATGATTAGGAACCGACTCCTCAGCACTTAAGAACAAAAACATGGCCATAATATTGTATCAGTGCTTCTGTTCTACCTCCTAGTTCCCAGATGTAATGCCTGGGTCCTTATAAGTTTGTAAGCACAATTTGATGAACTTGGCTTATACTTATGGATGTAGTAGCTCAAAATATCAACTGAGAGTGAAGGAGTCTTCACATCAAGTATCAATCTTATCCCCTCTGTATACAGATTGATAGGAACAGGCAATTTAGACATTGGCTACCTAAAATGGGGGCTCTTTAAAGGCATGAATTGACTGGCTTACAAGTTTTTAAGAAGGAGTTTAATTTCAGAGTGTGTGGAGGCAAAGAGGAGGCCACAGAGTGAGAGATAGCAGCTGAGGACTCTAGACTCATGGAAAGAGAAATGCTGTGTGCTGGTGGCCAAGTGCTGGTGTCCAGGAGGCAGTCTTGCAGAGTGTGCCCTTTGGTTGTTTAAATGATTATATATTCCTGAGTGTTTTTGTGTATACCAACCCACCCCCCAAAATAAATAAAACAGCGAATAGAAGCAAATACTGTTGAACGATGATGCACAGAGAAGATTGTAATCATTGCAATGTAACAAGTGTAAAAACTGATGTTCTCCCATGTAACCATGTAAACTCTCACTCAATTCACAATAAAAATTAAAAACAAAAACAAAAAAAAATGGTTTGTAAGCAGCCATCCAAGGTACAGCAATTGGTCTCTGTTTGGCCAGAACAATAGAAGAAGAAGGAAAGTTAGGAATAGGAGGAGGAAGTGTAATGGTTGGCTAATTGCCTTCATGAACTATTTGCCTCCTTTGCCAGGAGATCAGAAGAACTGAATGGTGCCCAACTATTCCATTTGGAATACATTATGAAATGTTTTAATTAAAGAATCTATAGAAGAACCTTCTCATAAGTGGAACAATGAGAAACAGAATTGCAAATTCTCATGGAGTTAATACTTTCTGGAGCTATTGAGGCTGGATGATCTTCCAAAACTATTTCCTTGAAATAGTCTTTAAACTTTAAACCAAAATTATCTGCTGAATTCTTTAAACCAAGCAGTAGTTTCCTTAGTAAAGAGTATCTGGCTTCAGCATTGTATTCTTTTAAAGAACTATCTACATGGGATCAAACTGACAACAGTAACTCTTAAGGTTGGATAGGAAACTTGGGACAGTTAAGTATATATAAGATGCCTGGCATGGTGCTGTGGATAAGCACTGTACTGCTAACCACATGGTTGGCACTTCAAACCCACCAGCCACTCCTCAGTAACCCTATAGAGGGTGGCTAGGAGTTGGCATCTATTCGACAACACTTTACAACAGCAATAAAGTGTATGTTCATGGGGGAGGAACAACTTGGAAAAGAAGGGTACAATTCAAAGAATGTAATCAATGTCACTGATTTTACAAGTAGAAATTATTGCATTCATATGTGTTGTGCAGTGTGTATTTTCAGTAATAACAACTAAAAGAGGCCAATGATCAGAATCTGGGGAAGTGAGTAACTACGTTCTACTGAAAAAGGCAATGGTCGGAAAAGTAGCCAGCACTGCAGTATGGTCCCAGGTTCCTAATGCACCTCTTTCCCTACCCCACTCTGTTGATCGCATGTTTCCTCCCTGTCTCTCTCATCCTAATAGGTGACCTTGGAGAAGGTGCTGGGAATAACAGTGTCTGGAGGCAGAGGACTGGCCTGTGACCCCCGGTCAGGTTTAGTTGCCTATCCAGCTGGGTAAGTACTTTGGAAGAGAGCTTATTGCATGGGAATTTATGGGCATGATAAAGTAGTAGGGGTTTTCTGATATCCTCTGGGAGATATATCCAGGTTAATCTTTATAAAGAAGTAGAGGTTTCTTTGTTTGGTGGTGTCTTTGTTGCCATCCTGTCTTGGATTGTTGTCCATCCACCCCACCTACCCATTCATTTATAGATATAAATTTGTATTTTTATTAAACACTGCTCCCAACACCATCTTTAATTACTGCCTTCTAGTTATTTTATTATTTATTTTGGAGTCCTGGTGCTGTGGGTTAATGTGCTAGACTGCAAAGTCGGTTTGAACTGTAAGTTCGGCAGTTCAAGCTCACCATTTGCTCCTTGGAAACTGTATACAAGGTCGTTATGGGTCAGAACCAACTCAATGGCACTTAGCAACAAGTTATTTTTTAGAACTGCTTTGTTGATATGTATTAATTCATATACCATAGAATTTACCCTTTTAAAATGTATAATTCAATGGATTTTAGTATATTCACATTTTAAATACATTTTAGAACATTCTCAAAAGTGCCTCAGAAGAAAGGCCTGGTGATCTACTTCCAAAAAAAATCTGTCATCGAAAACCTTATGGAGCACATTCTATTCTGACACACGTGGTGTCACCATAAGTTGGAATTGACTTGATGGCAGTAGGTACTGGTAATACTTAGAACAAGTCTATCTCATATTTTAGAGGAAGAAACTGAGATTCAGAGAAGTTAAACAATTTACTTGAGAACACACAGCCAGCAAGTGTCTGTACTGGAATTCCAACCCATGTAGTCTGACTGCAGAGCTCTTACTCTTAAAATGGCATGGGGTGGGGACACAGACTAGAAATTCAGTTTATACAAGGGTAGGTCAAGAAAGTATTGCTACTAGGGTTCCAGTTAATAAATGCATGGGTTTATTTAAAAAAAAAAAAAAATTTTTTTTTAAATGTGTTTAAACATGTCTCTGTGACCAGGCAAATGGCTACAGACACATGCTGTCACTTGTCTTAGTCTCCTTGGTGATGGTGGTGGTGATGGGCTGTGGAGTCGGTTCTCTCTGATAGAGACCCTGTGTAGGGTTTTTGAGGCTGTAAATTTTTATGGGAGCAGAAAAGCCTCCTCTTTCTCCCAAGGAGTAGCTGGTAGATTCGAACTGCTGACCTTGCAGTTAACAGCCCAACTTCGTTGCCAGAGTTCCTCCTTAGGATGCCTTACCAAAAAAATGGTCCTGCCAAAGCAGTGGCTTCTGAGGGGATCTGCTTATTGTTAAGTGCCATTGAGTCTGTCCCAACTCATAGCGAGCCTATATAGGGTTTCTGAGGAGCAACTAGTGTGTTTGAACTGCTGACTTGTGGTTCGTAGTCCTGTGCTGATCCGACAGTGCCACACGAGGAGTCCAATTCAATTCAAGGCAAAAAAGCTTGACTCAGAAGGTTATGGCAACTGTTTTTTGAATTCCAAAGAGGTAATCTTGATAGATTTCTGTGAAAGACACAAAATCTTTATGAGGGCTTATTAGGAAGAAGTTTTAAGAAAATTGAAAACTACTTTGGTGAGAAAAAGGCCAGTTGTGTTTTTATCCATGATGAAAATGCGCTTGCTCATTCTTTGAGGGTAGCAAGGGTTGTCCTAAGAGGAATTTGTTGGGAAATCTAACCCTATGTACCTTACGGCCCTGATCTTGCCTCTCCAGACTTGTTTTGTTCCCCATTGTCAAGGAACATACAAAAGAAGCAAGATTTGAGATCCTCAAGGTTGCTTAAACTGCCACTTTGATGTGGTGTAAATTGAAAAGTGCAGAATTCTTCAGGGAAGGGTTGTTGTTAAGTGCCATTAAGTTGATTCTGACCTTAGCGACCCTGTATAGGGTTTCCTAGACGTAGCTGGTGAGCTTGAATTGCCGACCTTGCAGTTCACGCTGACTTTGCAGTCCAGTGCAATAATCCACAGTGCCGAGTCGGGTGAAAATACTGCCCTTAGAATTGTACAGACCTAGATGGAGAGTATGTTGCAAAACAATAGCCTCACATTTTGATATTTTTGCTTAAGAAAGGTTTCTGTGATTTTGTAGCAATACTTTTTGATTTACCCAGTATTTAAAAGCTGCTTTTCAACCCTAAGCTGCCTCATAATGAGAGGAGCCCAATTTGTGGACAGCTGGGTCTGTACCAGGGAACAGACGTCTGCCCTGGTTTTGGGGTCAGTGTGTCTCCTGAGTTTGTGGTAAGGGATGTTGTGGACTCTGCACTGGCTGCAAAGTCAGCGTGAACTGACATTGTCCTCCTGTAGTGGGTTGATGAATGACCTCTATCTCTAGAGAATCTGGTGTAGCTTGCCTCAGGGGAATTCTACTCATTCTTGCCCCAGCCTGGGAACTCCAGGTTCCTTCTTGTTCAAGGTGGCACTGGGTTAGATGTAGGATTGGCAGGAAAGGCCTGGGGTGCTGTGACCTGTCTCCCTACTGTAGGGGTGTGGGGTGGAGCTCTATTCCCCACTCTTTCCCACATGCCCAGGCTCTAGGCTGAGCGCCTTTAAGGGTGTATGCTTGTGTTGGTGGCAGGTTCCAGCCTAGCACATGTGCCTGGGAGTCAAGTCTTACAGATAGTGTGTGGAGAGCCCTCTGCTGGAACCTCTAGTAAGCTTTCTGAGTGTGCTTGGCTTGGGCTAGCCCTGGGCAGTGTCCCTGAACTGCTTCCTGACCTTTGGATTTCCTAGGACTTCAAGTTCTCTCTTTGCAAATGGCTTTTTTGGAGGTGTTTAGTTTTGTTCTGAGCTGGAACCTCCTGATTTGCCTGTGGGGGTGTCTGGGGACTACCAAAGTCTGTGTGAGCCAAAGCAGCTGCTGTTTTATCCCTTGCTGCCTCCTATCTGGTAATCCTAACACGCCACCTACTTCTTGTTCTTAACTGCGTTTGTTGCTCTAGAAGCCAGCTCAGGTATCCTAGAAACAAGAAGAGAAACAAAGCACTGAAAACTCTCCCAGAGGCCTAGAGGCAAATATCAAACCAAAACAGAGCTTTCTTAAAGGAAATGAAACAGCACAGGGAAAGGAGGTGGTGGGGAGGAAGTGTCTTCAGGCAGAGATGGGTTGAAACTCTAGGCTAACAGTGTAGCGTTTGGGGGCAGAGGCCCCTGTTGTAGTGTCTCCTGCATCTCTTCTTCAGAGGTCTCCCTTTGCTGTGATTTTCGCCACAGGAAGCCTATCCCTTACCTGTCATACCATAAGTCCCACTGCCCCCCCGCCGCCCCCCCAGTCTCTCTGCTGGATTCATTTTAGTTTAACACCCATAGTTGACTTGGGCCCAAATCTTCCCCTCCCTGACTGGCTTGGGGGAAGTTCCGGAGCTTTAGGGCCCGGCATAGCCCTGACAGTTATTGGAGAGCCTGTACATGGGCTTCTCTTGGCCTCCAGCCACAGACCACAGGGCATGGTCTGAGTGTGCTCAGGGCAGAACTGTTACTTGCCTTGTGGGGTGGGAAGTCTCCTGACCCTACCAGTAGGCAAGAGGAGACTCAGAGCCAACATATATAGGGATTCTGAAACTGTCGTCTTTACCAGAGCAGTCAGCCTCATTTTTTCCTGCAGACCATCTGGTGAGTTTGATCCATTGACCTTGTGGCTAGCAGCCAATACCTAATCCACAGTGCCACCAGGGCTCCTTAAATAATGAGCAGGAGCAAGAACATCCAACTTTCTAAGGAAGTCCCTTTATTTATTCAGCCCTCATTGGGATTTTTGTTCCAAAGCATTGACAGGGTATGAAGCCACAGAGTCTCCTCTTTAACTGTGTTCTAGTGACCTCTGCTCAGAAGGAAAACAAAGCCAAGTTCGTATTCTCCATGGTAGGTGTATTGGTAGCAATTGAGTGGGACAGTGGAGAGACCAGGTGGGCCTGAGAACGAGATGAGAGAACTTAGTTCTCGATGGATATGAGTCATTTTCAGGACATGTCACCTGCATTAGGGCCCTCAGTGACTTTTCACTGGCTTTTCCTTCAGATCTCACACTGGAAGCCAAGACCCTCAAGTTCCTCCCAAAGTACTTGGTTTGTGGAATGTTCATTGATTTTTTCAGCAGATACTTGTTGAAAACCTGCTCTGGAGCAGGCACTGTTCCAGGCACCAGGGGTACAGTAGTGAATAAGACAGAGTCCCTGCTCTTGTGGGGTTTAGGTTCAAGAAGGGGAGCAGACAATAAGCATGTAAACAAATAAGTGAGCAAGATAATATCAGAGATGTGTTCTGTAGAAAGTAACCCAGGGTACTAGAAGAGAGTGAGAGGGTAAGTGGGATGGGAGACTAGGTGGTCAAGGAAGGTCTGTCTTGGGAGCTAACATTTGAGCTGATACATGAGTGATAAGGAGGAATCAACACATGATTTCCACCCAGAGTGTTCCAGGTGGAGGAAACATTGAGTGCAGAGTCTTAAGGAAGGGAGGACTCACTCACTTGAAGGAACTGACCAGTAGCCATAGTGACTAGACCATACAGTGAGAAGAAGAGGCGTCAGACACTGCCATTTGACTTGACTTGTAAGTCCTGCAACTCACAGAGATTTGCTCCTTTTTGTTCATGGAGAGATTATGTTTAGAGCCCTCTTGGTAGAGGGGGAGGTATTTAGGAAAGATGTATACTGAAAACTCTATAATGGTGGTCATGTTCTTTGCTGGGTTTTTTAGAAACTAGACTTTCTCATGCCAGACCTTCTGAAATGATTTTTCCTTAGAGGAGGGGCTGGTAAAATATTCCAGAAACAGAGATGCCAGTGAGTCTCAAGTTCTGGTGTAAGAGAGTTACTTAGTAGGAAGACATTGCATTCCAGGAATCTAGAAAGGATCCCAACCAAGGATGCTCTAGGAAACATAGGAAACATCCAAGTCGATTCCAGACTCATGAGCTCATAGAATAATTAAAGCTCTAAGATTTCCCCTTTGGGAGTGAATCTTTTTTTTTTTCAACTTTTTTGGTGAATTGAGTGAAG